AAATTCGAGCATGAAGAAAAAGACTTACTCCAATATCTTGTTTCCACCACTTTTCTTGCCTTCTGTTAGCATATTGGCTCAAAAAGAGTACTGCTCACTAACAGTAGAAGCAAAAGCCCGTACTACAGTCTGTTCCTATTTCATTACATTCTTTTATGATTTCTTTTTGCATGACTTCTTATCTAAAGACCAGTTACCTCTTCACAACACTCCACGGTTCTAACATGTGGCATAAACCAGATGCTTAGACTCGATTAGAAAATATTACCACAAGTACTTAAAATCTTATAATTGAATTAGAAGGATAATTGTTACAAGACAAGCCACGACTTACAGGTCAGTGACTCAGGATCAGTGAGTGGGATACAAACAGAGTTAAAACGCAATGGTGAAAATTTATGTAGGAAAAACTTAGGATAATGTCTACAGGGATAAAAATGCGAATAAGATGGGGAAAAAGATGTATTTTTCTGGCTTCTTTTTAACTTTATCGAAATGAAGAATTATTTTTTAAAACATAAACCTCAAATCTAAAGAATAAGTCAAAATGTTGCTTAAACAAAGTATAGAGATTTTAGTTGAATTTTGCGAGGAGTATAGATCTGTTACGTATATATCATACTTATTATAAAACCCAGCTTGTGTGTGTGTGTGTGTGTGTCTGTACGTTTATATATTAGATCGGATTTCCTACATTTTTCAACCGATTTCAACAAAACTTCACAGGACTACGTAAAATTACCTTGCGGTGGTTCTGACAGCGCCAAAAATTGGAAAAACATAATTGTTTTTACACGAAATCAATTTGAAAACACGATTAAGGCATCGCGAGAATAAAAGGGGGACAACTCATATCAGGTTATACTTAAAAACCCAGGTTGTTTGTTTTTGTGTGTGTGTGTGTGTGTGTGTGTGTGTGTGTGTGTGTGTGTGTGTGTGTGTGTGTGTTCGTTTATATATGGGATCGGATTTCCTACATTTTTCAACCGATTTTAACAAAACTTCACTTTTTTTTGGGGCAGGTAGTGTTTCTTATTATCTTTCACACTTTTTCTTTATTTTTACATTCAGAATGCTTTTAAAAATTCCATTTACAAGACAATTGTTTATAATAAAATTCTATTCAATCGGTAGACTCATAGCGATTGAAAACAATGTTTTTGTTTGAGTTTGGGTTTGACCAATTCTTAAAAAAAAAAAAAAAAAAAAAAAAATCTAATTAAGACATGCATGTCCATCAACCTTAAACAATAATCTTTGTCAATTTTATTTTTCAGTCTTTATGATGGTCGATACTCTTACTGTTACATCCGCAGGCAACGCCGGGCTCTTCTGCTAGTATATATATATATATATATATATATATATATATATATATATATATATATATATAATGAAATATACTAAATCCGACAAATAATTTAATATATTTTCAGTTTATACGTATTAATTACATTTACCGGCCTGAATGTCCGAACAATTTCGTAGAAAAAATTGTGTCTTCCGACAGGAAGTGAAGCTGTATCATACACGGAACCGTCATTTAGCCTGACTTTTACGTTAAGATACGCTTCGAGCAGATATGATCGTTCGAGCAAAGATCGTAGAAAATTTGTTGTTTAAAAGCAGTAATTTGACTTTGCTAACCAGACGCTTTCTGTGTAGCTAAAATGTATAGCACGTCAGGCTAAATGAAGGTTCCATGTGGGATACTGGTGCGATTCCCGACGGAGAACATATATAATTTCTACGAAATTTCTCAGACATTCAAGCCGGTAAATGTAATTAATACTGTTTACTTTAAACAAAGCATTTACGGAAATTACTGTATCTATAAAAAATAACGTATAAACAGAATATATATATACACACACATATATATATATATATATATATATATATATATATATATATATATATATACAGTCCAGATGGTCCACTGTACTTCTTCATATGTAGATTTAATAGAGCGCTTAATGAAATTCAGTAATAAAGACAACAAAATAAGACGAAACTTACGACTGTAAAATGTTTCTTTGCGTGTTTTAGTTTTAGCCAAAAGCCTGCTAATAATAAATATCATCAGTCTTATTGGCAATACTGTTATCATTTTGTCTTTTTAATCCTCGCATTTCATTAACTGGCCTATAATATATATATATATATATATATATATATATATATATATATATATATATATATATATATATATTAAAGAAAAGCAAAAGCGTTGATGAAACCAACGGACAACTTGCCAAAACCTAAAACTCTTATCCAAATAATGTTGTCTCGAACAAAAACGCCAATACTGAAAAAAGAAAAAGAAAAAAAGGTCTAAAAGTAAACCTACCTACTGAGTAAAATAAATTGTCAAAGCTTATACTGCATAAACAGAGCAAAAATCGCTTGACAACATTAAATCCTATGAAAGGATGGCCCTAGTTGTAACCAGAGTTCCACGCTCATGCGCACTTCAGACGACTTGAACGCCTCAAGCCTTGAACCTGTTCAAGTTCTCTGAAGATCGCGTGAGTGTGAAACTCGTGTGACGGGTTACGACTAGGGCTATCATTTCAAAGATATATATATATATATTCGGTTGGTGCATAATTATCAGGCGTTTTTTAAACAATATTTATTATGAAAAAAGGAACATAACAATTCAACAATAACATTTTTTAAATGATTATTCCGGAGCGTATGATTATCGTCACGCATTTTTATAATCTAAAAGTAAAATAATATTTTTATTAAAAAAAGTAAACAAAACAACAATTTTTATTAACAAATAACTCGCTTACAAAAACGCCTGATAATTATGCACCAACCCTATATATATTATCTCACGCCGAGTGCTGCTGGTGCTCGATGTGAAATAACTGCTAAAATTTTTACCAAAAGTAAATATACATTTTTCCACATCCATAGCACGACTCAGAGCTTGATGCACGATGCAATCGTCAGGTACTGATTTTAAAATGTGAGTGTGGGGTATCGTCGCTCAAAAACTAAGTATATCTTTACAGTTGGATGATGCCAAATGCCTAGATTTTACAAGTGTAGGCATTCTTGTAAACTCTAAAGTAGTAGTTACCTGTTGCCAATATCCGCCACTCGCTTAATATCCGCACACCACCTCATAAACAGTTAATTAGAGCCCCCTCTTCCACCTCCTGACCGACGCTGAATTATATCCATCGTCCCGCCTTAAGTTTGGCCTAGCATGCTAATCGTTCCATGGTAATTGTTGTGCGAAAATCCAAAAAAATGCACCAGCCATAGTAGACAAATTTTAATAGCTACTTTCAATTACAAGATACATGTACCAGAAATCACATTTATACTGGTCCGGTGCGTACTACCCCGATCTGGGAAAGGCTGATTGGGGCCCCGGGTTTTGCGACCCTCGATCTGGGAAAGCCTGATTGGGGCCCCGGGTTTTGTGACCCTCGATCTGGGAAAGCCTGATTGGGACGCCGGGTTTTGTGACCCTCGATCTGGGAAAGCCTGATTGGGACGCCGGGTTTTATGACACTCGATCTGGGAAAGCCTGATTGGGGCGCCGGGTTATATGACACTCGATCTGGGAAAGCCTGATTGGGACGCCGGTGTTTGTGACCTTCGATCTGGGAAAGCCTGATTGGGGCGCCGGGTTTTGTGACCCTCGATCTGGGAAAGCCTGATTGGGACGCCGGGTTTTGTGACCCTCGATCTGGGAAAGCCTGATTGGGACGCCGGGTTTTATGACCCTCGATCTGGGAAAGCCTGATTGGGGCGCCGGGTTATATGACACTCGATCTGGGAAAGCCTGATTGGGACGCCGGTGTTTGTGACCTTCGATCTGGGAAAGCCTGATTGGGGCGCCGGGTTTTGTGACCCTCGATCTGGGAAAGCCTGATTGGGGCACCGGGTTATATGACACTCGATCTGGGAAAGCCTGATTGGGGCGCCGGGTTTTGTGACCCTCGATCTGGGAAAGCCTGATTGGGGCGCCGGGTTATATGACCCTCGATCTGGGAAAGCCTGAATTGGGGCACCGGGGTTTGCGACCTTCGATCTGGGAAAGCCTGATTGGGACGCCGGGATTTGTGACCCTCGATCTGGGAAAGCCTGAATTGGGCACCGGCGTTTGTGACTCTCGATCTGGGAAAGCCTGATTGGGACGCCGGTGTTTGTGACCCTCGATCTGGGAAAGCCTGATTGGGACGCCGGGGTTTGTGACCCTCGATCTGGGAAAGCCTGATTGGGACGCCGGTGTTTGTGACCCTCGATCTGGGAAAGCCTGATTGGACGCCGGGGTTTGTGACCCTCGATCTGGGAAAGCCTGATTGGGACGCCGGTGTTTGTGACCCTCGATCTGGGAAAGCCTGATTGGACGCCGGGGTTTGTGACCTTCGATCTGGGAAAGCCTGATTGGGGCGCCGGGTTTTGACCCTCGATCTGGGAAAGCCTGATTGGGGCCCGGGTTATATGACACTCGATCTGGGAAAGCCTGATTGGGGCGCCGGGTTTTGTGACCCTCGATCTGGGAAAGCCTGATTGGGGCGCCGGGTTATATGACCCTCGATCTGGGAAAAGCCTGAATTGGGGCACCGGGGTTTGCGACCTTCGATCTGGGAAAGCCTGATTGGGACGCCGGGATTTGTGACCCTCGATCTGGGAAAGCCTGAATTGGGCACCGGCGTTTGTGACTCTCGATCTGGGAAAGCCTGATTGGGACGCCGGTGTTTGTGACCCTCGATCTGGGAAAGCCTGATTGGGACGCCGGGGTTTGTGACCTCGATCTGGGAAAGCCTGATTGGGACGCCGGTGTTTGTGACCCTCGATCTGGGAAAGCCTGATTGGACGCCGGGGTTTGTGACCCTCGATCTGGGAAAACCTGATTGGGACGCCGGTGTTTGTGACCCTCGATCTGGGAAAGCCTGATTGGACGCCGGGGTTTGTGACCCTCGATCTGGGAAAATTGGGACACCGGGGTTTGACCCTCGATCTGGGAAAGC